TCACTGCGGTCGGAGTCAGAATCTTTGTTGTGTGTCCCAAAATCTCGTACTGTGACCTACGGAAACAGATGCTTTGGGAGGGTTTCGGCTACGTTGTGGAATAGCTTACCATCTGCTATTAGAAAGTCAAATACCCTGGCCAAGTTCAAGAGGGACATCAAAACTCACCTCTTCACGTCTGCATTTTAGAATCTTTGCAAAGACGTCATGTAAATACCACCCTTTTATTTGTTCAATTATGTGCCCATTGCTTGCTTAAATGTATAAAAGTGATTGTAAGCCTTTGTTTTTTGTTTTCACAATTATAACCATTACTATTATCCATATGTTGTAAAGCGCTTTAGAGTAATTTTACAAATTATATAGGGCGCTATATAAATGTTGTATAATATTATTATTATTTATCATCATAACCAAATATCATTCCAGCCATATATGTCTCCCAAGTATCATTCTTACATGTCTATCTTAGCAAGCATGAGCAAATTAAATCAGTCAATCAGACATTGGCTTGAAATGTATTGGCAAATCAGATAGTTTAGCAGCCATATTTAATCCAAAGTAAGAAAGCTGGTCATTGCCTTATAAAATATTCTTATATAAATGCAATCTCTGTAAGTTTAATCATAAACAGTGTACAAGAATAGAATGTATTGCCAGACACTTCTCCACCAATCAGAAGCTGTGTTGGCTACCTAAGGTCACAAAAATAAAGTTAATGACAGTAGAAAAAAGTAAATATCAAGAAGAAAAACAAGTTGAAAACAAGAAGTCCCCTTACAATAAAAACCACATTTAAAAAAGCAGCACAGGATGAAATAGATATAAACTTAGGCAAGCACATCAACATGAACAGAAAAATGTCATTTATTTCTACCATACAATTCTGTGCAATTACAGATGGATGGTGAACTGTACCTGGCCCCAGGATTCCCCATTCCACCCAACTCGGATTACAAGGGCTACCATGCATACATTGATGAGTGTCTGCCCCCAGAGAGTCCCTACCTGTACGGCCTACATCCAAATGCAGAGATCGAGTTTTTGACCACGACATCAGAGACTTTGTTCAGGACTGTGTTTGAAATGCAACCCCGTGAGGCAGGAGCAGGAACTGGTACAGGTGTCAGTAGAGAGGAGAAGGTAATTAAGTTAACAGGACTAGTGCAAATGTCATTAGGGAGAGGGCAAGAGCTAGTGTAGATGTCAGTAAGGAAAAAGTAAGATAACAGAGCTAGTCTAGGTGTCAGTAGGGAGAGTGTAAGATAACAGAGCTAGTCTAGGTGTTAGTAGGGAGAGTGTAAGATAACAGAACTAGTCTAGGTGTTAGAAGGGAGAGTGTAAGATAACAGAGCTAGTCTAGGTGTTAGTAGGGAGAGAGTAAGATAACAGAGCTAGTCTAGGTGTTAGTAGTGAGAGTGTAAGATAACAGAGCTAGTCTAGGTGTCAGTAGGGAGAGAGTAAGATAACAGAGCTAGTCTAGGTGTCAGTAGGGAGAGTGTAAGATAACAGAGCTAGTCTAGGTGTCAGTAGGGAGAGAGTAAGATAACAGAGCTAGTCTAGGTGTCAGTAGGGAGAGTGTAAGATAACAGATCTAGTCTAGGTGTTAGTAGGGAGAGTGTAAGATAACAGATCTAGTCTAGGTGTTAGTAGGGAGAGTGTAAGATAACAGAGCTAGTCCAGGTGTCAGTATGGAGAATGTAAGATAACAGAGCTAGTCTAGGTGTTAGTAGGGAGAGTGTCAGATAACAGAGCTGGTCTAGGTGTCATAAGGGAGAGTGTAAGATAACAGAGCTAGTACAGGTGTTAGTAGGGAGAGTGTAAGATAACAGAGCTAGTCTAGGTGTTAGTAGGGAGAGTGTAAGATGAGAGTGTAAGATAACAGAGCTACTACAGGTGTTAGTAGGGAGAGTGTAAGATGAGAGTGTAAGATAACAGAGCTAGTCTAGGTGTCAGTATGGAGAGTGTAAGATAACAGAGCTGGTCTAGGTGTCATTAGGGAGAGTGTAAGATAACAGAACTAGTCTAGGTGTTAGAAGGGAGAGTGTCAGATAACGGAGCTGGTCTAGGTGTCATAAGGGAGAGTTTAAGATAACAGAGCTAGTACAGGTGTTAGTAGGGAGAGGGTAAGATAACAGAGCTAGTACAGATGTTAGTAGGGAGAGTGTAAGATAACATAGCTAGTCCAGGAGTTAGTAGGGAGAGTGTAAGATAACAGAGCTATTCTAGGTGTTAGTAGGAAGAATGTAAGATAACATAGCTAGTCCAGGTGTTAGTAGGGAGAGTGTAAGATAACAGAGCTAGTCTAGGTGTCAGTAGGGAGAGGGTAAGATAACAGAGCTAGTCCAGGTGTTAGTAGGGAGAATGTAAGATAACGGAGCTAGTCTAGGTGTCAGTAGGGAGAGTATAAGATAACAGAGCTAGTCCAGGGGTTAGTAGGGAGTGTGTAAGATAACAGAGCTAGTCCAGGTGTCAGTAGGGAGAGTGTAAGATAACAGAGCTAGGCTAGGTGTTAGTAGGGAGAGTGTAAGATACCAGAGCTAGTCTCGGTCTTAGTAGGGAGAGTGTAAGATAACAGAGCTATTCCAGGTGTTAGTCGGGAGAGTGTAAGATAACAGAGCTATTCTAGGTGTTAGTAGGGAGAATGTAAGATAACAGAGCTATTCTAGGTGTTAGTAGGGAGAGTGTTAGATAACAGAGCTAGTCTAGGTGTTAGTAGGGAGAGTCTAAGATAACAGAGCTAGTCTAGGTGTCAGTAGGGAGAGTGTAAGATGACAGAGCTAGTCCAGGTGTTATATGGAGAGTGTAAGATAACAGAGCTAGTCTAGGTATTAGTAGGGAGAGTCTAAGATAACAGAGCTAGTCCAGGTGTTAGTAGGTAGAGTGTAAGATAACAGAGCTAGTCTAGGTATTAGTAGGGAGAGTCTAAGATAACAGAGCTAGTCCAGGTGTCAGTATGGAGAATGTAAGATAACAGAGCTAGTCTAGGTGTTAGTAGGGAGAGTCTAAGATAACAGAGCTAGTCTAGGTGTTAGTAGGGAGAGTCTAAGATAACAGATCTAGTCCAGGTGTTAGTAGGGAGAATGTAAGATAACAGAGCTATTCTAGGTGTTAGTAGGGAGAATGTAAGATAACGGAGCTAGTCTAGGTGTCAGTAGGGAGAGTATAAGATAACAGAGCTAGTCCAGGTGTTAGTAGGGAGTGTGTAAGATAACAGAGCTAGTCTAGGTGTTAGTAGGGAGAGGGTAAGATAACAGAGCTAGTCTAGGTGTCAGTAGGGAGAGGGTAAGATAACAGAGCTAGTCTAGGTGTCAGTAGGGAGAGGGTAAGATAACAGAGCTAGTCTAGGTGTCAGTAGGGAGAGGGTAAGATAACAGAGCTAGTCTAGGTGTCAGTAGGGAGAGGGTAAGATAACAGAGCTAGTCCAGGTGTTAGTAGGTAGAGTGTAAGATAACAGAGCTAGTCTAGGTATTAGTAGGGAGAGTCTAAGATAACAGAGCTAGTCTAGGTGTTAGTAGGGAGAGTGTTAGATAACAGAGCTAGTCTAGGTGTTAGTAGGGAGAGTCTAAGATAACAGATCTAGTCCAGGTGTTAGTAGGGAGAATGTAAGATAACGGAGCTAGTCTAGGTGTCAGTAGGGAGAGTATAAGATAACAGAGCTAGTCCAGGTGTTAGTGGGGAGAGTCTAAGCTAACAGAGATAGTCTAGGTGTTAGTAGGGAGAGAGTAAGATAACAGAGCTAGTCTAGGTGTTAGTAGGGAGAGTCTAAGATAACAGAGCTAGTCTAGGTGTTAGTAGGGAGAGTCTAAGATAACAGAGCTAGTCTAGGTGTCAGTATGGAGAGTGTAAGATAACAGAGCTATTCTATGTGTTAGTAGGGAGAGTGTAAGATAACAGAGCTAGTCTAGGTGTTATAGGGAGAAGGTGAGTCATCAGAGCCCTTGCAAGTGTCATTAGGAAGGATGAAATATATATATGTATATATGAATCCAATTGAATATTGTCTCACCGTATTGGATAAACAGATACTAAATGAAAAAATATCAACTGACTTCATTCCATTAAATTACATTTACAGAATTTTTATAAAGTTGCCCTCATTTCTAATGTTTGTGTACTTTTTGTTTTCAGATTAAATCCATACTAGATGAGATTATGGAGAAGCTACCTGAAGAGTTCAACCTTGTTGAAATTCAAGCCAAGGTGCCCCAAGATGAGAGGACCCCATATGTTTTAGTGGCATTCCAGGAATGTGAACGTATGAATATGCTGACTAGTGAAATCCGGAGATCATTGAAAGAGCTAGATCTTGGTCTCAAGGCAAGTATTTGCAATAAGTTCCTTGTATTTTTCACCTTGCCCAATTGAGCTTATGCTACTGCACATTGTCCCTCCTTCAATTTTTTCATTTAAACAGCTACAAGTCTAGAATAAGATATTGTAACTAAATTGACTTGAAGTATGGCCGAACAAACCCATTACCATCAGGCTGATTTTGAAAGAAACTTATACATGTACCTCTTTATGTTGCCCTGACCAAGTGTCTTTTTTTTTTTTTTAATCTAATTTACAACCAAAGAAGGCCACCTGTTCTCTGATTAGCTGAGACATTTTTCAAATTTCTCTCAGCTGCAACTGGGCCAGTGATTACCAAGCTTGATCTGATGTTTCTCATTGTCCTGAATAGGCTCCATTTTATTTTGGAATGATTTATCTTCTTAAATGGATATCAAGTCCTCTGACTTTTTGGTTAATTTTCAATTCCACCAGTTTCTTTTTAACCAAATGCTGATATTGTCCATACCTTATGATATGTCAATTGGTCAACTGGAAGTCTGAATTCACCACCATAGTCTTATATATAATGAAATAAATCAAAATTTAAAAACATATATCAGACAATATTTATATAACTTGTTTATATTTTTATATTTGCTTATCATATTTTTTCCTGTTATATAAATGGAGATTGAATCAACTAGCTGGTATCTTGCATATTTTGTGTTTTATTCTGTTGTATATAAAATTGTTTACATTTCAGTTATTTGTCTACCATATTGTGTATGTAATATGTATATATTGTGTGTTTTACAGGGCCATATCAAAAAGTATAGACAAACATCTAAATATGTTTCCCTGTCTAAGTAAAAGAATTTATTATTTTTTTTTATTATAGATTTCATGCATCAGTTTTAAACTTCAATCTCTCAAAAGAAATATTTTGAAATTAGGGTCAATTTTTTCAATATGTAATTAATATGAATAAATATTAATGGCCTATACATATCCACAGGGTGAGCTAACAATAACAGCTGATATGGAGACCCTAGGAAATTCCATGTACTTGGATGTTGTACCTGTGAGCTGGACAAAGAGAGCTTACCCATCCTTGATTGGCCTCACTCTTTGGTATGCCGATCTTCTGCTTCGTATCAAGGAACTAGAAACTTGGACATCAGACTTCCAACTTCCTGCTGCAGTATGGCTTGGAGGGTTCTTCAACCCCCAGTCCTTCCTGACTGCCATTATGCAGCAGATGGCCCGTAAGAATGAGTGGCCTCTTGACAGAATGTCACTACAGTGTGATGTGACAAAGAAGAGTCGAGAAGATATGGCTGGCCCACCACGTGAGGGTGCTTATGTCCATGGTCTGTTCATGGAAGGTGCTCGCTGGGACATGCAAACAGGTATGATCTCTGAAGCCCGACTTAAGGAATTGGCTCCAGCAATGCCAGTCATCTTTATCAAAGCCATCCCAGTGGACCGTTTGGATACAAAGAACATATATGAGTGTCCTGTGTACAAGACTAAGAGTCGTGGTCCAACATTTGTCTGGACATTCAACCTGAAGAGCAAGGAGAAGCAGAGCAAATGGACTCTGGGAGGAGTGGCATTGCTTCTTCAAGTGTAGACTCGCTCTATACAGACACTTTGACACTACAGAATGATTTGTTTCTTTTGAATTTGCGAGTTTGCAGAATATTTGTTGGTGTTTTTGAAATTCCATGAAAGAGACCATACCTTTTTCAGTCAGAGAACTTTGACATTTGAATCAAATTGAACAATAGCTAAGGTTCCTTTCGCCAGAACCTTCAATATGGAGTGCATTTGTATAAATTTAATATTTAACTATCAAATTTGAATAAAAAATATAATATTTAAAAACTTCTACTTTTACTGAAATTGGTGTATATATTTTCTGTTGCAATTAAATGTTATATATATCTAATTGTTATGGAACTTTAACGTAATTGAATTAATATTGCCCTTGTCATTTATTCAGCTGTATGATACGAAGTTGTAGAACAATGGTGGAAAATGATAAGCTTCACTACCTGGTCCAATACATTTTAAAATGATTTGCCGAAGAGCCATTTGATGGCTGTGTGATGTCCACAAAGACAAATTGAATAGGAATTGATCAATCCATGTTAGTGAACTGTTAGGGTTAGGGTTAGAAATTGATCAATCCATGTTAGTGAACTGTTAGGGTTAGGGTTAGGGTTAGAAATTGATCAATCCATGTTAGTGAACTGTTAGGGTTAGGGTTAGAAATTGATCAATCCGTGTTAGTGAACTGTTAGGGTTAGGGTTAGAAATTGATCAATCAATGTTAGTGAACTGTTAGGGTTAGAAATTGATCAATCCATGTTAATGAACTGTTCATTTGAAGATCAGGCATAGAATACCAAGTATATCACAATGTACCTTTTGAAATGAATGTGCTGTTTTAGGGTTAGGGTTGGGTTAGGGTTAGGGTTCGAAATTGATCAATCCATGTTAGTGAACTGTTAGGGTTAGGGTTAGAAATTGATCCATCAATGTTAGTGAACTGTTAGGGTTAGGGTTAGAAATTGATCAATCCATGTTAGTGAACTGTTCATTTGAAGATCAGGCATCGAATACTAAGTTTATCACTATGTACCTTTTGAAATGAATGTGCTGTTTTGAATAAAATATTTATTTTGTTATTAAATGTGTTAAAAAAATCCTCTTACTTGTCTCATTATATAGCAACATTTCCTAAGTAATGTGGATATACTTTTTGTGACTGTAGAACATGAGGTACCTCTTTTGCCTCTTTGATGCTAATAAAATGAAGCTATCAAATACTATTGTATTTAAATAACAGTTTTTAGCTCACCTGGCACGAAGTGCCAAGTGAGCTTATGCCGTGGTGCGGCGTCCGTCGTCCGTCCGTCTGTCTGTCCGTCGTCCGTCCGGCGTCCGGCGTCAATATTTTACTTTAAACGACTTCTTCTTAATAACCAAAAGGCCTAGGGTGATGATATTTGGCCAGAAGCAAACTGGGATGAAGGGCTACCAAGTTTGTTCAAATAAATGACCTTCATCTATTTTCAAGGTCACAGGGGTCAAATATGTTAAAAACTTTAAACAACTTCTTCTCAATAACCAAA